CTTGAAAGTCCACTTATAGCTGACTAACCTGGCTCTAGCAGATTTCTCGAACAGCTCCCAAGTGTGGTTATCATGAAGAGATTCCATCTCATCATCCATGGCTTTTATCCATTCAGTCTTATTTCGAATATGCATAGCTTCCTTGTAATCTCTAAGTTCTTTGCTAAGAACCTCACTTGCTGAGATTAAGGCAAAAGCTATGAGATATGCATAACCAAGTCTCTGATTCTCGACCTGTCTCTTGCCAGCAGGTAGTCATTATCAGTCTCTTCATATTCATCGACAACATGTGCTTCTTCTTTGACTTCATCTAGGTTATGCAATTCAGCATTACTATGTTCCACCTTAATAAGAATTTTTTCCTGTTACAGCTCCTCTGCAGAGATCTTCGTACTTCGACTAACGTTATCGATTTTCTTAAAAGCCATTTATGTTTCATTGAAAACTACATCTCGACTTGTGATACACCTCATATGACATGGCTCTAGGCACCACAACTTATAAGCATTGACTCCTTCAAGGTATCCAAGAAACATACATCTCAGAGCTCTAGGTTCGACTTTGTCTTACCTGATGTGAGTATAGGCTAAAATACCAAATACTCTAATTGTGTTGAGATTAGATGAATGTCTCAACCATAATTCTTCATGTGTCTTCATCCCCAAGACAGTCGATGGACACCTATTTATCAGGTATGCTGCAGTCACAACAACCTCATCCCAAAACACCTTCTTCAATCCTGCACTAACTAACATGCATATAATTCTTTCCAGGATTGTTCGATTGAATCTCTCAGCCATGCCATTTTTCTGAAAAGTGCCCATAGCAGTCTTGTGCCTCACAATACCGCACATAGTACAATAACTGACGAAAGCTTCATTGCAGAACTCAATACCATTATCGTTTTTCAACCTATTGACCTTTCTATCAGTCTAATTTTTGACCAGAGTCTTCCAACTTTTGAAATTTTCAAATGGTTCATCCTTACTCTTCTAGATGAATATCCATAAATTCATGGAATAATCATCAACTATGGATAGAAAATACTTTAGATCTGAGTGTGAAGGATTCCTTGCAGGCCCTAAAAGATAAACTTGAATGTAATAAAGGGATCCATGTGTTCTTTATTTGCCTTTGTTAAACTTTACTCTGCAAGATTTACCAAACACATAAGGTTCACATGATTCCAGCTTTTCAACTTTGTCACCACCCAGGAAATTTTGTTTCCCCAGTTCGACAAGACCCTTTTCACTGACATGCACCAATCACATGTGCCACAATTCTGTCTTTGGCACACGTTTCATGGAGGCAAAATTTGTTGATCCACTTACAACCTGAACCTCAAGGGTATAAAAGCCTTTTTTCTTCACACCTCTCAAGACTTCCTTCGACCTCTTCATGACTTTCAGGATACCTTGCTCTCCATTGAACACATAATTTGACTCACCATGGAACTTGAATCTCACATAATTAATACCTGCAATTTTGCAAGCTTTGTTATTTCCCAGCAACACTGATCCACGATCTTGATCATATAATTCCTCAACCACATATTTGTTTGGATTCACATGTCAATTAAAACCTAAATCAATAATCCACTCCTTGCAAGAGTTTCTACTTGAAACTACTAGAAGATCAGATGATTCATAATCATCTTGCACAATGGTTGCATTACCATTATTCTTACCTCACTGATTATTCAGGCGTTTATGGAACACCTTTCTTGTGTGACCTTCCTTCTTATAATGGTAACACTTAATTCCAGGAGAATCATCACCATACGACTTTTGCTGACATTTACCCTTCTTCTTCTCAAACCTACTATCTTTCTTTTAGAATTCCCCCTTAACGAACAAGCCTTCACCAACGAATGATGGCTTGTGCTCCTTTCGTTTGTTCAAATCCTTATAGTACAAGGCTGATTGGACTTCTTCATAGGTCAGAGAATCTCTTCCATGCAAGATATTTTCTTTGAAATGTGCATGAGACTTAGGTAAAGAACACAAAAATAATAGCGCTTGATTTTCATCATCGATATTAACCTCAATATTCTCCAAATCAAGAATCAACTTGTTGAATGTATCTGACTGCTCAACCAAGACTTTGTTTTCCCTCATCTTGAATGAGTATAAAGCTTATTTCAGGTATAAAAGATTTATCAGGATTTTGTCATATACAACCCTTTGAGTTTTCTCCACACACTTACTACAGTCTTCTCCTTCGAGACCTGCCATATAACCTTATCACCAAGGCTGAATATGATGGCATTGTGGGATTTTTTTTTTTATCATTGTCATCTTATCTTTCTCTGTTATGGTAGTATCCATCTTCTTCGATCCTTTCAACACTTCCAACAAACTCTGCTGAATAAATTTGATTGCAAGTTATTTGGTGAAGAAAAAACACATACCCGAAAAACTTGATTGTAAATTATTTGGTGAAGAAAAAATACATACCAGAAAACTTGGTTGCAAGTTATTTGGTGAAGAAAAAATATATACTGGAAAACTTGATTGCAAGTTATTTGACGAAGAAAAAATACATATCAAAAAATAATAAATATTAAATAATAAAATTATTTGATAAATAAAATGGGTAGAATTGAAATATTTTAAAATATGTAGGGATAGAGGGATAATTGTAGGGTTATGAGGTAAATTTTTCTCAATTATTACTATTTAAAGTATAATTGCCTAACTGAGTATGCAACGTTATGTTATTAACGCGAACTACGATGATGTTATAACTACCTATTATATATTTATACACACATTAAAGAGAAACATAAAATGCACATAAACTCTGTAGGTTTTTTTTACAATTTTAATCATGAGATATTAATAACCTTTAAATCTATACTAATTACAAACAATAAAAATGATAAATAAAAATAATACAAAGTTGATCTAATTATCGATTTTCTATGTTAAAAAAACAACAACATTACGTGAAGAGAGAGAAAAAAATAAATCCATATTTTTATTTATTTTTTATATCACCTTTGAAACAAATAGTAAATCATTGATGAAAGGAAATGACACAAACAAAAAAGTAAAAAGGGAACAAAAAAGGAGTAGGAGGCTGATCAGAGGAATTAAGATGGACATCGAGGTGTATTGATCAAAATGTGAGAAAGGTTTAGGTTTGACTTTGTCTTTGTAAGGATTTTTTAGTTTTTTAGTTTTTTTTTTTGAAATTGAACTCCTATTTATACTAATTTTCATATTAACATAAAAGGAAGACAAGTCATACTGACAAATCTCGACCAATTAAAACCAAGAGTGATAAATTGTATTCAATTAAAAATAAGTATGACACATTGCAATCATTTGAGCAAGTATGACACATTGCGACCAATTAGAAACAAAGATGACAAATGAAAAAAAAAACTATATATATTATGATTTTTTTAATACTTTTTTTATAAAAATTTAATTATTTTGTGATTAAAAATGAATAAATAGAAAAACTTAACATAAAAATACCTATTTAAAAAATAGGAAAATAATATTAAAATACTCTAAAAAGTCAACATTTGACTTTTGTTGACTTTTCTTACTTTTTAAATAAAAACAAGAATAAATAATAAATAATAATCCCTATTTTTTATATATATTTTATTTTGAATTGAACCTAAAAATGAAAACAAATGTAAATACTTTTTGTACACAAAAGAAGTAAACTAGTAAAATACAGACAAAATTTAGGGTAAGGTGCAACGATTAACCCTCAACTCTTTTTCAACAATCTAAAAGAACATCCTATTTATAGAGTACAAACTAACTTAAACATTAAACTAACTTAAATACTAAGCTAACTTAACCAACAAGCTAACTTATACAACTGCATGCTAAAACATGCTTCGACTACAACACACACATCTTCGGCTTCTGCATGTTTGAACTGACTTTGACTACATCATGCACATCTTCGACTCTTGCATGCTTAAATAGACTTCGACTAAAATATGCACAACTCTATCAAACCATAAAACTATATTTGTTGAGACTAAATTTTGATCCAAAAATACTACAAAATTCTTGACTAGATAATGATGTATATGATTTGTAGCCATGGAAACATCTGAAATGTGCAAAACACACATCATGGACCCCTTAACAAGAATCATGAACCTTGCGAAAATCTTTTAATGTCATGTTCAATCTAGTAAAAAACACAGTCCATCAAAAATTGTTTTAAATAATAAATTTATCCTAGATTCAAGAGTATACCTCAAATCATATTAAATAATCTCATGGTTATCAAACATCTTTAAAAAAAATAGAAGTCAAACTTTGACCTTACAAGATTTATCATTTTTGAGTCGAACAAACTTCACATTCTTTCAATTTTTCTGAGTCGAACAAACTTCACATTCTTTCAATTTTAAGGTTTCAAAGTACTCGTTCCTCCAAAAACATGTTATAAGAGCGTTAATAATTCATAACCCTACTCTTTTCAATTTCCCAACTAGCCATCACTAGTGCATAAGCACTCTCATAATACTCATCTAAGGCAACCACAATGTAAACGAAACCCTCATCAGCACGTTTGTGTGGACAATCCTTCTTAAATTGGTCGATCTTGCAACAGTTGAAGCACTTATTGTTGAAATGTTTAAAAGATCTTGTTCATTAACTCAACAAGAGTTGAGTCTTGTTCTCATCATCTTCATCCCAATATTTTTCAAGTCATCTATGATTTTGTTAAAATACCTCAATTACTCAACAATGAACTTTGACTCCTCCATTCTAAATGATTAAATTTGTTATTTCAAGCAACCTATGAATCAATGACTTTGTCATATACAACTATTTGAGCTTCACTCACATTTCTTCTACAACTTTCTCCCTTTCAACTTCCCACTATACTTTATATGTTAGAAGTAGAATAATAGCACTCTTTAACTTCCATCATCTTAGTCTATAGCTATTATATATTAACATTTTTTTGCTGTATTTATTTAAAAAAAATGACATGGGTTTGGATATTTGATACAGGTGAGATGATTGTTGGACCAACAAAAGCACTATTTATGGATGAAATATCAACTGGTCTTGATAGTTCCACGACATACCAAATAGTAAAATGTTTCCAACAAATTGTTCATCTCACTGAAGCAACCATATTCATGTCCTTACTTCAACCAGCTCCTGAGACTTTCGATCTATTTGATGACATTGTCTTAATATCTGAGGGTCAGATAGTATATCAAGGCCCCCGTGAACATGTTGTTGAATTCTTCGAATCATGCGGCTTCAAATGTCCGGAAAGAAAAGGAACTGCAGATTTCTTGCAAGAGGTTACATCAAGGAAAGATCAACAACAATATTGGTCAAACAGAAACATACCATACCGTTATGTTACAGTTACGGAATTCACAAACAGATTCAAGAATTTCCACGTCGGAATGCAGCTTAATAATGAAGTATCTACACGGTTTGATAAATCGACAGGACATAGAGCAGCTCTTGTTTTCAAGAAATATACGGTTCCGAAAATGGGACTTTTGAAAGCATGTTGGGACAAAGAATGGCTTTTGATAAAGAGAAACTCTTTTATTTACATATTCAAGACAGTTCAGATATGCATTATGGCGGTTATATGTGGAACTGTTTTTTTAAGAAGTGAAATGCATAGAAGGAATGAGGATGATGCAGCTGTTTATATTGGTGCTATTTTGTTTACTATAGCTATGAACATGTTTAATGGTTTTTCTGAGCTTCCACTCACAATTGCTAGACTTCCTGTGTTCTATAAACATAGAGACCATCTTTTTCATCCTCCATGGACTTACACTCTCCCCAATTTTGTTCTAAGAATCCCTATTACACTTTTCGAGGCTACTGTTTGGGTTCTTATTACATATAACACCATTGGACTCGCACCTGAAGCCTCAAGGTAACCTCAATTACCGATCATTCTCACTCTAATATATTGTTTATTTATTTCTATACAAATTGAAACGGCAAGTGTTGAATCTTAGTGGATCGTGTCGCCACTTACTCTGATACTAGATAACATGACAATAAGTGTTGAGTGGCCCTACGCCACTCTGATACTATAAAACATGATCATAAGTGTCAGCAATGCCACTCTAATACTATATAAATAAATATTGTGTCCGTAACAAATTTTTTAGAGGTAAAGTAAACTTTATAAGCGTTTTGTATAGCAAAGATTAGATAGATGATATTAGTATTAAGTGATGTATTTGTAATACTAATAAAACATTGTAGGTTCTTCAAGCATTTGTTGCTGGTGTTTCTTATTCAACAAATGGCAGCTGGGTTGTTTAGGGTAATATCAGGAGTTTGTAGGACAATGATCATAGCCAACACTGGTGGATCTCTCATGCTTCTTCTTGTTTTCTTACTTGGAGGTTTCATTCTTCCTAAACGTGAGTCACTAATCATTAATCAAACTCTAATTAAGGCACTAATCCTATGTAATTTGTTATGGTCATTAATATGGTTAAGCCTTAATGTGTTAACAGGTGACATTCCAAATTGGTGGGTCTGGGGCTATTGGCTTTCTCCATTGTCATATGCTTTCAATGCTTTATCGGTTAACGAAATGTTTGCTCCAAGGTGGAGCAAACCGGTGAGTACTTTCGTATTTTAAAGAACTATAAACATATTTAATCCAAAATTATAGTTCTGACTCGAAGTTTTCATGTTTTGCAGTCTTCAAATGGATCAACATCATTGGGTGTAGCCACATTGGATATCTTTGATGTTTATAGTAATGAAAATTGGTACTGGATAGGTGTTGGAGTTCTTATTGGTTTCACTGTTTTATATAATGTTCTGTTCACCCTTTCACTTATGTACCTTAACCGTAAGAGCTCGCATTCTCTACAAAATGTTAAGTATATATTACTTAAGTGTCAAGAAAAGCTTTTGATTCGATTTGTTTTTTGTTTGGTTCACTAGCTATTGGAAAGAAACAAGCAATTATATCAGAAGAAGAAGCAAGTGAAATGGAAATCGGAGGCGATTCGAAGGAGGAACCGAGACTTGTAAGACAGGAGTCCAACAAAGGGAATGACACAAGTAAACATCTTCAACTATAGGCCTTACCGTAAATGCTTAGCTAGAATTGTACTTTTGTTTCTCGGGTATGGCTCGTAGTTTACTAATAAGTAGCAGGTTGCTAGAGCGGAGCGAGTAGAAAGGTATTGCAGCCGCATTGCAGTCGAAGACATAGGCACATTAGGCTAATGAAGATTGTATTTACATTTTCAGGAGAAGTGGCAATGCAGAGAATGGGCAGTAGAGGTAATGCGAGTTCAAAACTCGAGTCTGCCATTGGAGTTGCACCAAAGAGAGGAATGGTTCTTCCTTTTCAACCACTTGCCATGTCTTTTGATAGTGTTAATTACTTCGTCGACATGCCAGCAGTAAGATCATCATCATCCTCAATCCTTATAGACTTTACTCACACGCCTTTCCAATATTAATCATCGAATGTAACTTCAAACAGGAAATGAAAGAGCAAGGAGTAACAGATAATAGACTACAATTGCTTAGAGAAGTAACTGGTGCATTTAGGCCTGGAGTTTTAACTGCTTTAATGGGAGTTAGTGGAGCTGGAAAGACAACACTGATGGATGTTTTAGCTGGAAGAAAGACGGGCGGTTACATTCAAGGAGATGTTAGAATCTCTGGCTTCCCCAAGAATCAACAAACCTTTGCGAGAATTTCTGGTTACTGTGAACAAACCGATATCCATTCGCCTCAAGTTACTGTCAGAGAATCCGTTATTTACTCGGCTTTCCTTCGATTACCGAGAGAAGTAAATGACGACGAAAAAATGGTAAGTACCCGACATATTTTCTCTTTTATGCTCCCAATCATCTGTGATCTTAGATGTTTTTGATTTATCTTTGCAGAAATTTGTGGATGAAGTAATGAATTTGGTGGAGCTGGATAATCTTAGAGATGCTATAGTCGGGCTTCCGGGCGTTACAGGGTTGTCAACCGAACAGCGAAAAAGGCTAACAATAGCGGTTGAGCTAGTTGCTAATCCTTCAATCATTTTCATGGATGAACCTACTTCAGGTCTCGACGCAAGAGCAGCAGCAATTGTTATGAGAACAGTGAGAAACACTGTTGATACTGGTAGAACAGTTGTCTGCACAATTCACCAGCCTAGTATCGATATCTTTGAAGCCTTCGACGAGGTATATCATTAAACGCGTGCTTATGTATAAGTTGTTTTTTCATCTCTTATAAACAGTTTCACAAGTAAACACTCCTTTGTGCATCAGTTGCTTTTGTTGAAGAGAGGAGGTCAAGTAATCTACTCAGGACCATTAGGAAGGAACTCACACAAGATTATAGAATATTTCGAGGTTCTAAAAGTTTAACAACAATTCGATTATATTCTTCTGAAGAATTATTGTAACAAAAGTTAAACATATGATTCTTTGATCACAGGCTATTCAAGGGGTCCCTAAAATTAAGGATAAGTACAATCCAGCTACATGGATGTTAGAGGTAAGCTCAATAGCAGCTGAAGTTCGGCTTAGGATGGACTTTGCCGAATACTACAAAACATCAACATTGCATCAGTAAGTCCACAAGAAACTACGAAACACTTCTTTTCAATTTGATTTGCATCCATTTTGATGCCGTGTACGGTGTCAGTGTCAATATTTTGATGCTAAAATAACACATTTGTTACGTGCAGGAGAAACAAAGCTATGGTAAGCGAGTTAAGTACACCACCTCCAGGAACAAAAGATCTATACTTCACGACTCAGTTTTCTGAATCAACTTGGGGACAATTTAAATCATGTTTATGGAAGCAGTGGTTGACATACTGGAGAAGTCCAGATTACAATCTTGTGAGATTCTTCTTTGCCTTGGCTGCATCTCTCATGGTAGGGTCAGTGTTTTGGAAAGCCGGCAAGAAAAGGTTTAGACTCGTTTCGTATAAACCATTCAACATTCTCCAACCATTTAGCTTGATTTCGATATGAAAAAATGTTGTTATCTTCGTACAGGGATAGTTCAGCGGACTTGAACACGATTATAGGAGCATTATACAGTTCTGTATTTTTTGTTGGTGTCAACAATTGCCAAACTGTTCAACCAGTTGTAGCCGTGGAAAGAACTGTATTCTATAGAGAAAAAGCTGCTGGAATGTATTCTGCGTTACCCTACGCCATCGCTCAGGTCAGAAAATGAGTTTTACATTGAAAACTATAATCGAAATTCGGTACATGTTGTTTATTATCATGTTGACATAGTGATAGTGGTTTCTTTTGCAGGTTGTTTGTGAAATACCATATGTGTTTGTTGAAACTATATATTTCACATTCATCGTGTATTCAATGGTGGGCTTTGAATGGAAAGTAGAGAAAGTGTTATGGTTCTTCTTCGTGAGCTTCTTTTCCTTCTTGTACTTCACATATTATGGAATGATGACAGTTTCAATTACACCAAATCATCAAGTAGCATCAATCTTTGGAGCAGCATTTTATGGACTCTTCAATCTCTTTTCTGGTTTCTTTATCCCAAGACCAGTAAGTACTATTTTTTTCTAAAATAAATTTAAGCTTTTTGCTATTTTTGCTGACATGATTCCTATACAAAATTTCGCGTTTCAGAAAATTCCGAAATGGTGGGTTTGGTACTACTGGATTTGTCCGGTTGCGTGGACAGTGTATGGATTAATCGTGTCGCAATATAGAGATGTGACAAAAGGAATAACTGTGGCCGGAGAGAGCGGAGAAACTCCGATCAATAAGTTTATTGAAGATCATTATGGGTTCAAAACAGATTTCATGGGACCAGTTGCTGCTGTTTTGGTTACCTTTGCTGTGTTTTTTGCCTTTGTGTTTGCCTTCAGCATCAAGACACTCAACTTCCAAACCAGATGAAAATATTAGTAAAGTTCTTGAAATTTTTGCTAATGAGTGCCTTATGTATATGTAGATGTAAACTACTATCTAAATATGTTCAGTCTCATTTTGCAAAACAACATCAGATGGAGATTATATTTGTGCTCTAAAGTAGAAGATGTATATGTATACTACTTCTTTTAATGGAGAGTTATCACAAAGAATTTGACTTTTGAAAAGCACAATGTCTACAATTGTTGAAGTTGGGGGAAAAATAAAAATTCCATTATCTATTGTTGTTGTTTTAATGTTGGATCTAGTATGGATTTTGGCCGGTGAAAAAATTTCTAGAAAAACATTTTTGCATGTGGGTTATGTCAGTTCGGAGTTTGTGGAGCTTTTGGATAATATTTGTAACAACCACCTTTTCGGCGGGAAAAAACATCTTGAAAATGGAATAAAATGGACCTTATATGATGATTTTTATGTTTGTGAGACTCTTGAACACCAAAAATGGATGAATTTGAGGAAATTTAGCAAGTACTAGTTCAATAGAAGGGAAAGCCATATGAAGAAGAGAATGGATTTACCATCCATAGTCGACTTCCAAATTCCATTTAGGACAATGTTAAAGTTTTAATATGGAGTATTGAAAAGAGTTGTATATATGAGATTGGGACAAAGTTAAAAACTATTTTTCTTGTAACTCATTTGTAATCTCTTGTAACAACTTTCTGAGTATAGTGAATTGGAGAACTGCTATCTCCTCCAGAGTAGATCGTTTGATCGAACTGGGTAAACAAACCTTCGATTTTTTTCTTGCCTTATTCTGTTATATTATCTGTCTACAGATTATTATTGCTAAAGTCCATTTGTTTTGGTTGCTATTGTTCTTTGCCTCACAAATTGATATTGAATTTTGTCGTAATTCACAACAAGATTCACAACACCATCTAATACCAATTGTTAGAACAACGTCTAATATAGAATATTAAAGATAAAAGAAGTAAAATACAATTCACAAAATCTATCTTTGTTAACGTAATTCGATTAATGATGTCTATCTCTGCGATTATAGAGTAGTTATAGTTCATTTTATTTCTGTCTTATGATCCCCATTCTTTGTATACATAATCATGCTGTCAAAAATTACTACAACATTATCTGAGTGTAGGCCTAAACACTTTGTTCATCAAACTTTGAAAGGTAGGTGACATATTCATAAGGTTAAACGACATGACTATAAACTCAAAATACCCTTCATGAGTCTGGAAAGTTGTTTCACAAATGTCGGCTTGCTTGACAAGAACTTGTTGGTACCTTAATTTTAAATCCATTTTGGTAATTGTGGGGAATTTTTATCTTATCGAAATTGAAAATTTGTCGGGAATTGTTATCTTATCGAGAGAACTGTAGTCAACACACATTCTCCAATAGCTATTCTTATTTTTTTACCAGAATAACATGGATGGATGAGTTGGTGTTATACCGAATGATTCTTGTTGCAAGCATTTCTTTCACTCGTTTCTAAATTTCTTTCTTGTGGTGGTATGGGTTTAGGTATGGTCACACATTAGTAGTTCTTTGACCTACATAAACATGACAAAGTGTTTTAATAATTATTAAAAGACTCTGTCATATTTTTTCAACACTCTATCGAATTTCTTATGTTGTGATTAAGTGATAGGCCCTTCATTGGTCTATGTTTGTTTACATTTCACTAAAGAGCGTAATGTGCTGCATGCATAACCCTCATACCTTCTCAAAATATGTTGTCGTCCTAGACCTTGCAAAGTGATCCACTTTCTTCCACTTTAAAAACTTATTGTTTTTTAGTGTAATTTATGATAGTTTCACATAGAGTTTTAAGTCATTTTATTTGCAACACTGCCTTTAGATATGTTAATTCAAACCAGAATTTCTCCATGAAAAATTTAAAATTACCAATTTATATATCTACTTCCTTATCTACTCCACGATTCGTCTAAGGCAACTTTTCTTTACTCAATTCTCCTACGCCAATGTACAATGCACTTTACCCCTGATCTCAATTTTCAATGCATGATAAAAGTACCTTATAAATGGTTTTTCAATGTGTTTAGTTATTTGAGCAGCGAGGTATTCAAACTCCCTTATGTAATCATCCATTATGTCTTATTAGCAAAGTTTCGTGAGTTGTGCATATACATCTTGACCATCCTAACACTATAACAAAACCCCTTTCAACTGTTTTCATGTGAGCGGTTCCTTTCCTTAAAGGAGAAAGTTGAATAAGTGGGTCGTCGGTCCCTTGATTCACAGTTGAGTGAGACTGGTCTTAATCTTTAGAATCGTCTCTTATACTTAGAAATACACCTCAACTTTAGAAATCAAATTGGAAGGGAAGTACACCTCAACTTTAGAAATCAAATTGGAAGGATCCTCTTCATAAACATGGGTAGCTCAACCTTTTTAGCAAATTGACAAAACTCTACTAAGGCTTTGCCGTGAAATTTTTTTATGGTGTGTATGAACTTAAAAAACCTCTTCCCTTGAGGAATTCCTTCTTATCATGTGATCCTTCATTGTTCATGCTTTCATCTTCTAGATTCAATGATTTTCTTATGCATTTCTCAAGCATGGAAACAAGAAACTTTTGAGAAAATCTTACCACATATTCAACCATTATTCTTCTATTTCTATATTGTTTTAAATATTTCAATTACATTTTTATTTTTATTTTTCAAATATTTTTTTGAAATTGGAAAATGTTATACCCTTACGCCAATATATCTAAAAAAGTCACATAATAATTTATTTTTATGAATAACTTACGATCAATGTTTCCATAAATTTACATAAAAGTTATCAATATTATTATTTTTTACCAAATAAGTTAATTATATATATTCTATTAGTTTTTCTTTAGTTCACCGGATAACTTTCTTATATGTTTTTCGACATTTTTTTTCATATTGCAATGACATGATAAATAGTGGTTTAAAAACCGTAACCAAAAGTGAACATATCACATTTAAAAACTATTACCAAAAGTGGAAAGATCACGTAATACGGACCAAATAGCTTAGTAGAAAGACTTCCGAAGAATGGACAACTATTTTATTTTTAAGTTTAGATATGTTAGGAAGATCCTAAAGTCCCACATTGGTTGGAGATAGAGCATTGAAATAAATTATATAGAGTGACACCCCTCACTTTACCAACCGGTTTTGTAAGGTTGTGTTAGGCCAAACTCTAATATAGTATCAGAGCCTATCGATCGAACCTTGGGCATCCCACCATTTAAATCCACGCACTAAGCCCAAAAAAGAGTGTTGGGCGTGAGGGAGCGTGCTAGGAAGATCCTTTGTCCCACATTGGTTGCAATTTTTTCCTATTTCCTAAATTCATCTTTGTTGTAGTCATCAGACATCTTAACATAAGTCATCTGGATTGCAATTTTTTCAAATATAATACAAAGATATTTTGATCAAATCAAATAAATTAAAAGAGATGGGTGATAATTATTGGGGTATGGAGTAAAATTTTCAATCCTAACAAGATCCAAATGGAAAAAATTTAAAGAATTTTTTAAAGCACCATATATGTTTCTTATTCACCACACGAATTTCTAAAACTGCCCCCTTTTTCGGATTTACATCTCTGGACGCACACCAACGAACACTCAACAAAGGTCATTATGAGTTACGCCTTATTTTCTTGTTTACTTTACTGTCGAGATACATCTCTAAAATAATTTCGTAGTTACATTTTTGTAATACAGACACATAAGTAGGAGAGTCAAAACCAAGTAATTTTCCAAAATGAAATTAACATTAATAACATAAGATAAGCATTACAATGATGATTTCAATATAAAATGCGATGTTACACTTCAATGTTTAGGTTGGCGCTTCAACATAATTGCAATATCTTCAACCAATCTTGAAATCTTCGCTTCCAACTTGAGCGAAACTTTTGTTTCGAAACGAAAATATGTATTACACGCAGCCCTTACATTTACTTGCGTCTTGAGCTCAAATTTGTTGAACTCAAGCTTCCCTCTGTTGAGGGAGTTGAAGTTGGTGAGCTTAAACGTTCGCTTAGGTGTAAAGTTGGAGAATGAGATATTTGTGATATACCAGTTGATATTTATTTGTGACATTTGAGAAACTTTCAGATTATGTGAAATATAGCATAAAAGCACCTTAATTTATAGAAGCCATAGATCAATATGGACCACTCAATAACTAGCATGCTGATTCCGAGAATATATCTCTGGAACCGCACCCTATCATCTTATTCTAGAGATACATCTCCGAAACTTATCCCGAACCAATTTCAAAACAGAGCCTAATATTTCATTTAGAAAAGAACAAATGTTGATATGGGGAAGATAAAAAATGCATTAAGACACAATATGAAAAAAAGGTGGAATATATTACACTTCATTTATATTGAGACACAATTACATACGCTTATTTGTACGGTTAAACAAGAAATTAAAATGAATCGAAACATATGTGGCCGGCTAAATCTATAGGTGATGCCCCCTTAGATTTTATGCATTTGATTCTTTTCAATGTTGTTCAATTTCTTAAATTCTTGCATCCTTTTCATAAAATGATCCGACCAAGTCTTAACTTTTGTGGTTGAATGAGTCGTCCACTTCGGTGATGTTAGTGGTATAGGGCTGTCGCGGTGAGAATTGAATATCAAATTATTGATTAACTTGAATCTTAATTCATGGTTCACCACCGGTCTTTAATTTGTCCAAAGGAAGGGAAAAAGATCAAATTACCCACAAAATGCAATGCAAATGCAAAGCTAGAGAGTCTAAGGTTCGGGGGTTGGTTAAACTTAGGGAAGGTGCTAGCATCCTAAGCATCTGTAGTACACTACAGGAACCTCTTGTTTTATGTGTTTATTGCAAAGGGTTATCTGCTTAAGGGTGAAAGACCTAGTGGTTTATTTCTAAGTATACTCGCCAAGACATCACATCTTGTACCTACATATCCTAACAGGAATAGAATCAGAGTACTTATAGTTCCCCTAAGAGG